AAATAAATCTTCATTTTAATTTCTTTCTTTGTTTTGTCACACTTTTATCACTGATTTTTAACCACAATTCAGTATGAATAATGTGGTTTATAGGATCGTTCGGCTACCCCCTCCCCCACCCTATGGGAAATAACATGGGATTCCATGTTAATCCCATGGCTATACTTTAACATGGGAAGGCTCTCATAGGATAACATGGAGGACACTTTTGCTATGGGAAAATGCGATTACATGGGTTTCTATGGGATTACAGTTTAAGTCTATGGCATAGGGATAACATGGGTAATGCTGAGTCTATGGCATCAAGTTAACATGGTAATGCTAAGTCTATGGCAATGCTAATCCTATAAACAATGTTAAGTCTATGGCATAGAGATAATATGGGTAATGCTGAGTTTATAGACAATGATAAGTTTATGGGTAATGCTAAGTCTATGGCATAAGGATAACATGTGTATCAATAGGACAATGGGATTATCAATGAATCTGCCATAATAAATAAAACTAATTGTTGTCAAAAACATTTAAAATTCTCAAAATAATAATAGTGAAAGTATTCCAACGATAGTATTGAAAAATTTAAAATCTTTGATTCCCGAATTGTGGTTAACGTATAGCATCGCTGTGTGATTCTTGTTTCATTTATATCCATTTATTCGCTGATTATTTGAATTGATGCATTAGCGATGAATCATCACTTGAAGATATGTTCATTAAATGAGATATTTTACACTAATGTACTCATTATTCATGAAGCTCATAAATAGATAAGAAAATTCATATAGATTTTAAACATTTAATGTAACATTTTAGAGTTCAAAGTTTAACAATAAGTCATTCGACTTTCATTTTAAGGTATATGTAAATTTCAATTGAAAGCCAAAAATGTGCCAAAAACTACCGCACCTATATCCGGATATAGGTGCACCCTTTGTGTGAAAACTCACATATAAGTGCATGCACCTATAAGCGGGGTAATACGGTAATGATCTTGCAAAATATTTGCAGTAGATTTACCCTATTGTTATTGCATTAATTTAAATATTTACAACAATATACGTGTACATTATAATTACATTAACATTAAACGAGTTAATTGTATACATGTATATATTTATAGTGAAATATTTATATAATAAATAAAAATTTTAAAGTAATTAGATATATGTTTGCTTTATATTTTATATATTCCCTGACAAGTGAGTAAACAAAGTTACTTGGTTGTCAATATGTTTATTAAAATACTTGTTGTAATTGTTGCCTCATTATTGAATACATGTACAGTATATACAAATAATCTGTATTGTATTTAAATAATGATTTTTGACATAATAATACTTAACAAATATTTGTAGTATTATACAAACATATAAAAAAACTATGATATATATCAGACATGTACCAGAATGGTTTATTTTAAATAAATTTATATTGAATAAATATAATAAATACAAATATAATTTTATAACAGTATAGTAATTGTGTTATAATAAGTATTAAGCATTGATTTATTAATAGAAAACAAGCAATTGTTATACACCTTATTTAGTATGACCTGGTCTACATGCACTTATGTAATAGATCAGTTTTGATTATGCAATTATTACCCTCAAAATACGTATTGCACCTAGTACAATAGAAACAATGCTGAATTAGGTCTTAAATTGTATATTTTAATAATTTGTTAAACTAATTAATATGATAAATTGTAACATAGCTTTATATTATTTTTAATTAAAAGTAAAATTCTGGGTAAAAGTCTTAAAATTATTTGTAATTATAACTTTTATATCATTTTTAGAAAAAGGAGTAATTTTAAAGGACAAAACTCTCTCTCTCTCTCTCTCTCTATCTCTCTCTATCTCTCTCTCTCTCTCTCTATTCTTTAATAACACGCATACAATACATAAGGAATGACTGCTTTTTTGTTATGATTGGGAATAAAATTAAAATATACACTAAATATAAGCACTATTTCTCTATGAAACTAAACAATTCAATCCCAATATCAGTGATATCTAGAACTCACTATTAAATGTGTTGAATGACTGTCATAATAGTGCCTATTATTTAAGATTATATTATGTATTACCGAATAATTTTTTATCAGTTTTAAGGATATCTAACCCAATATACAATGTGTTTAAAGATGGGAAAGCCATCTGACATATGGCTTTGGAAACTCCTTTCAACCGTACGATACGTTTTTTGAGCACCAAATTGTCTCTATCTCTCGGATCGATGGCAATCTTTGAACCCCTCTTACACTTAAAAATACCAGAATTGAAAGCCCTTTGTCTTCGGGTTTNGACAGCCCATACTATCTATCTAGATATAAATAATAATTGTATGAATAACAATAATTGATTGAAATTTAATTTAATGTCGCCAATAATAAAACAACTTTTATTTGACAATTCAGTCCGTAATACAGTATACAAGTATAATGTATTAAAGTAGATATCTTATAAATACAGTATATCATAGGGTATATGATTTAAATATCAAACCACAACCCGATAATGAATACTATGTATAACATGTACCCAATGTTTAACACATATGTTTGGTGTCCATTGATAGCGATGTCGCGCAAAAAGTTTGACATCCGACGGGTGCCCGGCGTTGGTATCATATGTGCCGTCATTTCTGTGATATTCTGGTCCACTGCCGGCCTCTGTATTAAACTGTCCACTGATGTCCACGCGCTGGAAGTGCTCACAATCAGGTAATTATCACGCATGGTTGTTTAAATTACTTTTAGTTTTTGCTTTGCACATGATTGATTTTGTCTGGCGCTGTTGCTAACCACGTTTCCTTATTATGTCTGTCTAAATTATGTGAATGATGTTTTTATTAGTTAGTAATTTATTTATTTTTTATTTAGCTGATTATTATGTAATTATGTGTGATTTTCCTTCTATGTACTTTTTTAGAGTAATTTTTTGTCTACTAGCACTTAATTTACTGTAGTCAAAATAAAGTAATATATTTATATCTTGCCTAACATTTTTAATTTATCTCAAAAATTTATTTTGTGTATTTTTATGTGAATTAAATTTGTTTAGCATTATTAAAATAAAATCTAGAATTTTTGCTAATATTGGTTGACATGTCTTATAAATGATATCAAAATAACACTGTATTAACATAATTATTACAAATCAATATACTATCCAGAAGTTGTCAAATAGTTGTTTAATAATTAGTTTATTATAAGCAACAAAATATTAGGTCTAGTACATTTATGATAATATTAAATATTGACAAATTTTGTCTAAATGATGGTAATGTTAATGAGTTAAACAACTGATCTATTTAGGAATTTTATTTTTTAATTAAAATTTCAATTGAATTTAATTTAGATCACTAATATTTGTATAGAAATATTTGTATCAAATCTGTTTTATTTAAAATTTATAATTTAGTTTTGAGTATTTATATAATTTACTAAACAAACATACTAAATTAATTGATTTAAAAAAATAAAAACTTATTTTTCAAACTTTCAAAACAGTAACTTTTATTTTTATTAAACAATAGGATTGTAGATCCAATGTTCAGACATAAACCCTAACCAAACCGACCAAATCTGATTGAGAGTTAATGTGTTTTATGTTTTGTTAAAATAGTTTTATAATAATTGGTTTGTTTTGTAATTAAATTAAATGTCAGACAAAATAGATTTCAATAGTTTTAGCCCAAAAATATCAATGATTTTAATTAATTTGACTTTTATTTCTAATCATTTAATTAGTTATTAGTATTTAAATTTTAAAAACTATGTTAGTTTAGCGGATAAATATTGATTAGATATCGAGCGTATTTATATAACCTTGTTTAAATTAGTTAAAAACTATTATGTTAAACTGTGAAAGTAAATTTTTGTTTATATATTTTGACATTAATTAATATTTTACAAACCAAATATACCCAAAAATACAGTACATTATAACCCAAAAATAAAAGTGTCCCAAAAGTTCACTATATTTATTGTGTTGGAAAATATAGTTCACTTAAAAGGGGTTTACACACTATTGATTACAACCACGTTGTTATATATTGTACAATATTTTGTGATTACAATATAGTTAACACGACGTTTTGTCTAGAAATTAGTGTATTATGTAATTAATTAATTAAATAATATTTTTGAATTGTATAAAATTTAATTTTAATGTTAATAAATTTTTAAAATAAATTAGCTTTTAATGTCAATAAACACAATTTTCAATAACATTTTTAAATCTAGTTTATATCAATTTACCAAGTTAGCTATTTATAAAGCACCATATTAATTGTGGTTAATCAGTTATGGTTAATTGCATATGTTATTATAGTGAACTAAAATCTTAACATGTGCAAAAATAAATGTAAAACAAAAATTACAATTATTAACATTTTTATTTTTAATTATGATTATGATAATTTATTAATTAACAATGTAATTATTTACAATTTACAGCGCAATCATTCAGACAGTGATATACTTTCTTGTGATGGTTTACCAGAAAGTGAATTATTTGGGCGAATGTACCGAAAGAATACCCCTATTCCTCAGGTTTGGACCAGAAAATAACTTACTATAAAACAAACTTTTGTTATTAATAAAACATAACGATAAAGTCATACAATTCAAACCTAACAATTGATTATTAAACTAAACAAACTTATTAATTAATTAATTAATTAATACTTAACACCAGATGCACGTTAGGCACGGTATCGATGGCCTGTCTCTACACCTCCTACCGACTCATACCGCTATCGGACGCCACAACCATACGATTCACGGCACCGGTATTTGTGGCCGCATTTGCCTACTTATTACTACGCGAACCGTTTGGCCGAATGGAGATCCTGTGCGCGTGTATCACAATCACCGGTTGTGTTTTGGTGGGCAGACCTACCTTTCTATGGGGTTCCGGCACTGGTTTGACCACTGATACCATATTGGGTCTGGCGTTGGCCCTCTCGGCCGCCATAACAATAGCCATATCAATGACAGTAATGCGAAAGTTGCAGAAAACTCCGGCACCGGTAGTCATATTCTGGTTCTCGTTAGAAACGGTATGCCTGGGACTGGTCTCACTGTGGGTGCTCGACGAGTACAAGTGGCCCTCCACTGGCAACGTATGGCTTATCATTGCAATGACCGGTACGTTGTGTCCATGAATTACCATGTTTGTGCATTAACGTAACTATATACGAACTATACTCCACGTCTGTACATACTTCTAGGCCTATGCGGTGCGTCCGACCAGTTGTTCATAACGCTAGCCCTTAAGTTGGAAAACGCGGGTCCCGTAGCCGTTGTCCGGGCGCTCAGTGTTGTCATCAGTTTTATTTTTTCGGTCACAATACTGAACGAGAAGATACTGGTGACCAGTTTTATCGGCGGTGCCCTCATCTTCGCCTCCATCATCGTTATGGGTGTCTATAAGTGGCGCACAGACTATAAGAGCGATGAAAAAGCACCCGTAGGTGACGAGTGCTGTCCTGAAAATAACAACAAAACCTATACAATAGGAGGGCTTAGTGTAGTCCAAGTGCTGCCGTCCGTCCAGTCTTATAGTATATATCCATCATATATGGCCCGTGCGGTAGATCTGTCCGCTCCGCACATTTTCAGTTACCTCGACGTACAGCACGTGAAGGCACCCGAAGCTCGACAACCAGTTTGATTAGTTGGTTAGTGTGCGGACACGTATGCTATGGGATGTATAGCACGAGTCGAGTGTTGTTATTGTACGGTTCGGGTCAGGATATGGCTTTAGGTATGCGATGTGAATGTATAGGGATGTCAGGTCCGGGTGTGATCATAGGGTAGGCTCAGTGGCTGTAATTTATTTTTACGTTTTCATATTAAAAGTTAATAATTAATTAACTCATTTATCTTATTAATATTTTATGATTTATTTATATACTGTATTTAAATGTTTAATTAAAAATTATATTTTTTTGTATATAATATTTCAAATTTGTTTTATGAAAAATTTTGTAACAATAAATGACTTAATTAAATAAATGTATTACAAGTTTTATATATTGATAAGAATTTTATTTAAAATTTTTTAATTTAATGCAGTTTAAAATTATACATTGAATACAAATATAATAATGCAAATGATATAATTTAAAAATTATCATTAAATTCATTTTGGTAAATTTTTATTTATTTATTGTTTGATATAGTCTCGGTAATTTGGGAAATTTTCGCTCACGCTCACTCACGCTCACGACAAAATTTTTCACGCTCACTCACACTCACGGGAACAAATTCAATCGTGAATCACGCTCACTCACGATGTCTGTAAAATTTTTCACGTTCACTCACGATCACGATTTTTCACATTCACTCACGTCACTCACTGTTTTAACTATACCCAAAATGTAAATTGTAATACGGTAAATTGTTTATAAATGTTAATAATAAATAAATATAATACAATTAAACAATACTAATATATTTATAAACAAAAGCCTAAAGTTTTATAAAATTATTTAACATATTTCATTATTA